TCCTTGGGTGAGGATTAAATAAATAAATAAATAAATAATAAAAGGGACTGAGAATCCTGACACTATCCCATCAGCCACTTCCCCAGAGGAGCATCCATTGACCCCAAGCACTTTGGAGCATGGGACGAATTCCTGGCTGCAGTGCGGACATGGCCGTTGACTATGCAGTGGGGACATGGCCAAAGGAACATCTCTTTCCTTTGTTCCATGTGGTTCCTATTTATTTAGACCGCCATGGTTATTCGTGATGCTTTACAAGGGATAACAACACAGTCTCCACCCTATAGGATTTACAGCGCAATTTAAACAGACAGGCTGCATGGGCTGACAGTCAGGCACGCCAGGAGGTGGGTGTGGAGGATTTCTTCTTGAGTTATAAATACTTTCCAGTTACAGGGGCCTTTCATCTGGGATCCCCAAGCACTTTAGAATAGCAGTAATCTCGATTGCTTTCTAAATGCACTTTCCATAAACTGCTGTGGGGACTGAGTAAATGCTTTTAACTGTCTATTAATTGATCTGTACATCTGTTCATTGTCCATATTAACCAGTGTGGATGTAAACACGACAGTTTAGGAGAGGCCCGCGATGGGCTATGGTCTGGCTGCTCATATATTACCCTAGAGGCCTGGTAGCCTTGCCACAGTGTTAAAAGGGGTGGAGGAGAGAGAGATGAGCACCTGAGTATTGTCCCAGGTGAGATGTTCACTCAGCTTAGACTCAGAAAGGTCACTTCCTAGATGACCTTTTTATGGGTGAATTCACATTTCCAAATCAGGTGGTCTCAGAGAATGAATTTCCCCTGGAGCGAATGGGAGAAATTCTTTTCCAGACTAAATAATATCCCATTAGCTCTAGCCGGTTTGGCTCAGTGGATAGAGCATTGGCCTGCACACTGAAGGGTCCCAGGTTCAATTCTGGTCAAAGGCATATGCCCAGGTTGCAGGCTCGATCCTCAGTGTGGGGCATGCAGGAGGCACTTGATCAATAATTCTCTCTCATCATTGGTGTTTCTATCTCCCTCTCCCTCCCTCTCTGAAATTAATAAAAAATATAAAATAATAATAATATTCCATTGTATGTGTACATTGATTTTGTTCATGCATTCATCTGTCGTTGGACACCTGAATTGTTTTCATGTTTGGGCTATTGTGAAGAATGCTGCTCTAAACTTGGGTGTTCGGATATCTGCTTGAATCCCTGATTTCACTGCTTTGGGGTTATATACCCAGAAGTGGAATTGTAAAGTGAAATTGCTGGATCATATCATACCTCTATGTTTAATTTTTTAAAATGTGTTTTTATTGATTTTTCAGGGAGGGAGGGAGGGAGAGAGAGAGAAAGAGAGAGAGAGAGAGAGAGAGAGAGAGAGAGAGAGAGAGAGAAACACTGATGTGAGAAGTATTGATCAGTTGCCTCCCATCCAGAGACCAAACCCCAAACCTGACTGGGAATGGAACCGGCGACCTTTGAGTGCACAGGATGATGCTCAACCAACTGAGCCACACCTGCCAGGGCTGTTTAACTTTTTGAGGAACTGCCAAACTATTTGCTTTTCACAGCGGTTACACCATTTTACATTCCCACCAACAGTGCACAAGGGTCCCAATTTCTCCCTGTCCTCACCAACACTTGTTCTTTTCTGTAGATGTTTTTTTGGGTATTTTCTTTCTCTTTTTTTTGGGGGGGGGGGGGTTGTTGTTTTCCATAATAGCCATCCTAATGGATGTTGAAATTGTATTTATTGTGGTTTTGACTAAATTCCACAATAAAGTTTTGAGCCTTTATGTTCACTGTCTTGATTCCTGATGATGAACCCAACTTGATTATACAGTATGACCTCCATTTCTTCCTCAGGAGGCTTGAGCCTGCTTCCTGGGAAAGGCCGAGCCACAGAGGGAGATCTAAAAGGTAACTGGGCCCTCGGCCTCTTAGACTTCTTCGTGCAGGTCAGCAGGGGACACTCCCACAGGCTGCCATGGAGGTTCAGCTGACAGATGACAGGCCAAAGCAGGGCCACAGATCACAGCAAAGGCATCTTTTTGTTCCCTGACATTCCCACCCCCCACCCCCGCCTCCTGTCCTCACAGTGTCAGCATCCAGGAGAGCCAAGCAGCCTAGGCCATAGCAGTGCTTCTCACAACGGATGCTACTGGCATTCAGAGTCGGACGATTCTTCATTACGTGGGACAGTCTCACACACCACAGAGCCTCCAGCATCCCAGGCCCCTGCTTGCTCAATGCCAGTATTGGCCTCCAGCCATTGTGGCAACCCAATGCCCCCCAATTGTCCCTCCCAAGTAGCCCCTCTTTGGAGATGGCATTCACCTGGGTGGTAAGCAGGTATGCAAAGCTCTCTGGAGATTCCCAGGATCTCACACTCACTCGTGCAAAGCAGCAATGACCATAAAGGGCCTCATGTCCAGGGGAAGAGGTGCTGGAGCTCAGCCAAGGAAAACTTCACAGGTCGCTTTAGGTGACCGTGGTGACTTCTCTGAATTTACTCACGGTGGGTTGACAGTGAGCGGCTCTAAAAACAAGCTGAGTGCTGTGATAACAGAAAAAACATCTCAGCATGCCCTCATTCCTCCCCCAGTCAGGACTTGAAATCTGAGCCTGGCCCCTTCAATGCCCGTTTGACCCTCCCTCTCCCAGTGTGTGAACACTGCCCCCGGCAGTCTCCGCCTTGCCTGGGCCGGTTTAAGGGACTGCATTTCCCTGCGCTGCCATAGCAACCAGGAAACAACCTCCACTGCAGTGAGAAGGATGGTGTTGTGGCCGGATCTGTAGGTGCGCTGGTAACAGAGCAACCGGACCAGGGACAACAAGGCCACAGGCAAAGGGGAGAGAGAGGTTGCCCAGAAAGTAGACAATCCGGGGCTTGAGGAGTTTGGGTTTGCGATTTATTTTTTCTCCAGACAAAGACACACACTGTCTAAACTGTGTGGCCGGCTGTTACTAAGAAGCTGCTGTACGAGGGGGAAATGCATTTAATAAAAAAGGCCCAGTGTTTGTGGTCTCCTCGGGCTCCCTGCTGCGCTCAGGAAATCTTGAGGTGTGACCAGCTTTCTGCCTTCAAACCCAAGATGAACTGCCCTTGAGAAGGGTGGTCAGAGGGAAAACATGTTCCCGCTCTCTGCCCTGAGCCGGGGGCACGGCAAGTGGGTCCAGAACAAACAGAAGGTAGAAGTCTATTTTGAACCAGAGGTGAGTTTTACAGCCGAATCAGGGCATATTGGGAGTGGGGGTGGGGGTGGGGGGCAGTGCGGGAGGAATGCTCTCTTTTTCCATCTGGAGCTGAGCCATGCGTGTTTGGGTTTGTTTGATTGGTGAGGTGGTGGGGGTCAGTGGCAGATCTTCCCTGCTTGGTGAAACTCAAGAAAATAAGGTGGTTTGCCTGACACCCCAAGGTTGCCCCGGGGACCCCCTTGCTTCCTCCTGCACGCCGACCTACAGCCTCGTTTGCTTTAGGCTGATGGAGTTTCCAGATTGTCTAGAATTCGGATGGTTTGGTTCAAGACCAGAATCTCCACCTGGGTTCTAGGCAAGCTGATGTCGCTCTGGTTTTTCGAGTTGTGCTCTGTGGTCGGAAGGCTGTGTGTGTTCTTGTCATTTCAATGGCTTCCTTGAACTTGCTGGAATTCAACCCACAGGACTCAGATTTAATACAGGCCAAAAAACATTTTTTTTTCATTTTAAAGTAGTGGCAAAATTCCCTTGTTGTACTGCAATTTTACTTCGTTGAATTCTGCCAAGAATAAAAATTCCATTGGGGGTATTTTGAAAAAATTTGGCTCATACAGAGATTTCCATTGTCATGGTAGTTTGTCATGATATCTGACCTTTGCTATATTAAAAGACATATATAGAGTTTCAAAGAACCTCTGTGGACAATGGCATTTACTCTTTTACAAGATATGTAACTACTTTATAGGCTCCAAAATAGCCAAATTAGATAAAGTTACAATGCATCTGGAATGCATAGAAATTCTCCCTGTGTCCAGCGGGAGTGATGGGTTGGAATGGCGTTCTCCTCTTTAAACTGCCAGCTAGTCCAGGTCTAATTTCAAAGTTATCTGCTGCCCTTGATAATTCTGACGACTTACTTGCATACCAAGAAACTAACTGGCCTGTAACCTAACTCTACCCTATTTAAGCCTCTAGGCACGAGTAGTTCCCCTGAAAATCATATGGAGTAAAACAGGACCGTGCCCTGGGTCCTACTAATTCTGAGATGTGAAATCAGTTGCTCAGAAGAGTAACTGTGTTTTGTGCACCATGTGAGCAGCTCGGAGAAAACCAATCACTTAAAAAAATGTCCAACACCTTGCACAAGCAGTATGTGCTATAAAAGTGCTGTCCAGCCCAACCGGTGTGGCTCAGTGGTTGAACGTCCACCTATGAGCCAGGAGGTCATGGTTCGATTCTCGATCGGGGCACGTGCCCGGGTTGAAGGCTCCATCCCGAGCAGGGGGCGTGCAGGAGGCAGCCGATCAATGATTCTCTGTCATTATTGCTGTTTCTAACTCCCTCTCCCTCTCCCTTCCTCTCTAGAAGCAATAAAAATATAATTTAAAAGAAAAATTTTTAATGTGCTGTCCACAGTGAATCGATCAAGGTGGTTGCTTTCCATTGCAGGATTACTTGAACTGGAAGTCTCCAGAAGATTATGTCCTGGTCTGCAAACCGCAGCATAAGGGCGACCCCACCCAGCACACATGGAGCCTCGTACTCCCTAAAACTTTCAGCACCAGAAAGGGAGTCCTGATCCTCTACTCAGAAGGTTTGGCCCTATCAGCATGGACGCCCGGAGAGAGGAGAAAAGGCCCCTGGCGCCCCAAAGGCCACAGGGAAAGGCTGGGTCCGAAGCTGCTCACGCTTCGGGACCTCAGAGAAGCCATCCTGGCTCACGAAAGGAGACAGGTAGGCAGAGCACTGTCGGGGGTCGGGGAAGGCGCTGGGCCTGCGTGGCTAGAAATCCATTTGTACCTTTAGGTCTAAGTCCTTCTCAGATCCCAGGGAAGGCAGGCAACCCTCAGCCTCCATTTCTTCACCTCTAAACCGGACCATATCTCAGTACTCTCTATCACACACAACTGTCACGAGGCCTGAATGAGGTGATGTAAGTGAGAGGGCTCTGAAAAGCATAAAGGATTATATTTTCATCCTTTTGTGTTTTCCTTTCCGTTAGAGTAACACAACTCCTTTTCAGCGTTCAGACAGGTCCAGGCCAGCCAACGTTCCCCCCAGATCCTTGAGATCCTGCCTCAGAACCACAAGCAGCCGCATTGCCCCTCCGATGTGCTCGGCTTTGTAGAAATGGGAGAGAGAACATTTGGAATATTTTACCTTGAGCCCTTCAGCATCTGCAGGATACGTTAAGGACTTTTTTCCACTCTGGATTTAATACTAAGGAAAAGCCCCTGTGCTCATTTTTCTGATTCATACTTTCTCATGTCTTACGAGATGGACACATGGCCCCTGCTCTATGTAGCTGCATGCATGAGAGAGGCTGGGACCATGTGTCACACTAAGAAATTCTAAGTTACAGATGATGCGTTACTCTGCAGTTTCTTGTTCCCCACAGAATTAAGTCATTAATTAGCTTCTTACACCAGGCCCTTCACACGCTGACTTTTTCCTCCATTTTAGCCACTTCTGCCACTTGTTCTTACCTCCACCTCCTCTATGGACCCCTCAAGGCCCCACCCATGTGACTCGCTCACCATTCCCCAAACAAGTCACACTCTTTCGTGACTTTCCCCTTTGACCTTGCTTTTACAGCTGGACAACTGCTCATCCTTCAAAACACAACTCAAAGGTCAGCTCCTTGCTGAAGCCTTCTCCCACTGCCCAGTGCTCCCTCCTCAGTACACATCCGTCATGCACTTCGATTTATCTCTTCGCCCATCTGTTGCCATCTCCTTGAATGTGAGGACCATGTCTAAGTCACTTCCAGAAAATAGTGAGGACCCAGAAGTGTTTGTGGAATGAAGGAATTGATCATGGGTGATACTTTCAATGGCCTTAGATCATCTCTCAGTGTCACTATTGGGCAATTTATCACCTACCTGACCCTCAGCAGAACTTCCGGAAGGAAAGAGTCCTCTGCCCCTTTTCCTTCTTGCAATATATAGAGAACCGTAATGACCTTGACCAAATGCCCAATTGTCCTTTGTCTTAAAATTCTTCTTTTTTTCTTTTCTAAAAATATCTTTTTTATTTTTAAATGCAGTTGATGTACAATATTAATTATATTAGTTTCAGGCATTTATATAACTTCCAAAGTGATCACCCCAATAGTACCCATCTCACACCATGTATAGTTACTACAATCATAAATTCTTGAATGACAGGAAGTTCATTGTTGTTGAATGCTGACTATTATTTTTTAGCAATTATTTAATCTTTACAAAGGCCTCATAAGACTGAGGACAGAGGGAGAGCATTTGTAAATGAGGCTCTCAGACCTCCCGTAACTCCAACTTAAATAAGTTGGCCAAGGTTTCAGAGTTAGTACATGACAAAGCCACTATTCAAACTCAGGACTGCCTACCTCTCCAGGGCGAGCATGCTCTGCACTTGGCCCTATTACCTGTGGCCTTGGAAGGGCCTCCAGCAATCGCCGTGGCAGGCCTCAAGCATGCTCTGCACTTGGCCCTATTACCTTGGAAGGGCCTCCAGCAATCGCCGTGGCAGGCCTCGGCCTCTCTGTGCTCACACCCACTCTTCACGCTCCCAGTACTCTGCTCTCAGCACAGTCCGGTTGACCACGACTACATATAATTCTACAGACAGCTGGGTCCACTGGCTTTTCACTGAATTTGCCAGTGGAATACATTGGAAGGAGATCGGAGAAGGAGAAGAGAAAAGCCAGGGTATTTCTCCCCTCCCGTTCTACCTGTGGTGGTGAGAAGCATCTGCATCACCTCTGTGGTCCAGTTCCCAACAGACAGGCCCACTGTGGCTCCAGGTTCCTCCAGGTGACCCCACCTGCTCTCCCTCTGTCCGCAGTTTAAGGGTGGTGCTGGCTTCCTAATGTTATGAATCTCAGTGTTACCTCATCATCGTTTTGGCTTTTAACCACCTGGGTAACCAATTCCCAGAATTACATTTCTTCTATGTTTAAAGATTTGGAGGGTTCTGTTTTCCTAGTTGGACACTAATATGTAGGTCAACTTACTGCCAGAGAAGAATCCCTTCCACAGCTGTCAGACGCTTGTCTATATGGCTTAAATATTTGGGGCAACAAGCATCTTATTACTATCAAGGAGATGAGTCTTTTATGGAACTGCTTCATTTTTGGTTAGATTGGGCTCAATGAAAAAAAGCAAGTTCCTGTCTTCCTATAGTATTTATCTACTAGATTTATAACACATACCTGACCCAAACAGAACACTATAGTCTAACTCCCAGCGGGTAGAAGAGAAATGGTGTGAAGAAATCAGAAAGGAAAGGTTAGGAATAGTAATGGAGCAGGAGTTTCTGATAGAGACTTCATAGATTAAAATTACAGAAGAAGTAACTCAAAAGGGGCTTGAGATTTTTAAAAAATGAAGATCTCAGAAGAGGAGAGCTTTGGAAACTACAGTGCACACCATCTGACTATGAAAACTACAGACTGGCAAGAAAGTTTTGAAACCATAATGTCCGGTGCTGGAAAGGCTGTGGGGAAATGAGCCGTCTAATGCTTTGGGAGCACAAATTCACATGACATATCTGCAAGGCATTTAGGCAAAAGCCTGAAAAAGGGCTGATACTCGCTGATTCATCATTCTACTTTTAGTAATTTGCCTTAGGAAATAATCAGAGATGTGCCCAGAAATTTATGCACAAGAATGTTTACTACAGGGTTACTAATTATTACACAGAATATTGAAAATAATAAATGTCTGACAATAGAACATTGATTAAATAAATTATGATATAGTCATAGAATGGCAATAAAGTCATGTATTAGTCATGAATAGCATGAGAAAATATTCACAGCCTATTTTTTAAAAGCAGGTTACAAAATAATATTCACAAATAAAAATACCAATGTTCATTAACATATTTGAGTATTTACTATGTTCCTGCCACTGTTCTAAGTGCTTTCCATGTATGATTCATGTATGCTTTCTATGAATACCGGGGGTACATACTATTATTATCCCATTTTAGAGATGAGGAAATTGAAGCACAGAAAGTTTGAGTAATTCACTCGAGATTATGCAACTAGGTAGGTAATCACACCAGAACTCGAGAGTAGGTAAGTCAGGGAATTTTTAAAAGAAAATAAAAATCTGTGACCTTGAAGGAGGCAGACAGTGAAAGAGAGAGCAAGGTTGACGCTGCAGAGCCAGGTGGGATCAGCAAGGGAAACGGACTGGAACCACTGTAAACTGAGCCCACCAGTGCCCACACCGTCTGTTCTGCAGGGTCAGTATTTCTTCGTCCAAGTAGCATAGCTCAAGAGTTAAAAACACCATGCTCAGAGTAAAAGAGCCAAAATGGGGAGGGGAGAGTGGGGAGATGGCAAGTGGATAAAGCAGTGCTGCTTACAGAAGAATCTATACTGCTGAACCGTGAATCAGGAAACCTACAAAATGTAGGCTTCATTCAGACCTGTGAGAATCGAGGCTATCACAGGAGGTGCAATTAAATTTTTAAAGCATCTTACATCACCTCCAGTTCTATATATGAATCTAATGAGATGCATGTGGCAATACGTCTGGGTTTTATAGCTCAACATACACCTACTCTTCAACTCTCTTGATGACCTAACTTCCTAATGAGCAAAGATAAATGCTAAGTCAGGCGATTAGATGTCAGAGTTCTCACACTTCTAAATACACACAGATATGTTGCTTGGTTTTTTGTTGTTTTGTTTTCTTTTTTAACAGAAGGACATTGTTCAAACATTCCCAAAGTTAAAACCACTCTTCTTCTTCTTTTTTTTAAATATAATTTTTATTGATGTCAGAGAGGAAGGGAGAGGGAGAGAGAGATAGAAACATCAATGATGAGAGAGAATCATTGATCGGCTGCCTCCTGCACACCCCACACTGGGGATTGAGCCCCCAACCAGGGTATGTGCTCTGATGGGAATTGAACTATGACCTCTTGGTTCATAGGTCAACACACGATCACTGCGCCACGCCTGCCGGGCTAGACTATAATTTATTAATATGCTGGCGAAGTATAAAGAAGGTCGAGATTGTGATTGATAGCGTGGTGTCTTGGAGGAGGTAGAATTTGAGCTGAATCTTGTGGTAAAAATAGGTGGGAAGGGACCTTGTAGGCATGGGTGAGTGAAAGCTTAGAGGGGAAAACAGGCAGGGAAAGCAGGGTGATTAGAGAGGTGTAGTCTTAGCTGGAATTGTACCAGAAGTGGGTGGGGTCAAAGTGTGGAGGGCTTTGCCTGCCAGCCCTGGGGTTTCTGGGGTTCTCTCTTCACCCCTCTGTCAACTGGTGCACACAAAGGCTGGCCACCCTCTGGGGTAAGATGGCAGCTGGCTGTCTGGGCCTTTCTTGGCTTCCTGGGGACTCTGGCACCTGCCACCCCGTAGCTGCTGGGTGGGAGCACAGCCTGCACCAGGTGCTTCCATCCTCTGAAAACCCTTGCCTGCCAGCACCAGGGTGGGTGACATGACAACCAGTTCAGGGATGGGGACAGGTGCAGGGGGTCCTCTCTACCCCTCTGCCTACAGACGCCTGGTGGGCACCAGGAAGGTGACCAGCAGGAGCCAGTCCCTCATCAAAGGAAGCACTCCCCGTAGAGCAGGGATAAGAGGCCACGCCATGCCCACTAATTATTCAGTTTAGAAGAAACCAGAAGCTGGGGTTGGTTGGCAAAGCCAAGGCAGGCCTGAGCAGTCTGAAGCCGTCACAGCCAGCCTCCTGCTGTTGTTTATTTCTGCGTCGTCCCAGAATCTCCCCTC